GTGACTCTCATCCCTGAGATGCGACTGCACCAATGGACTTAAAGTTTTCTTAAACAGTGAAGGTGAAAATCGCGAGGAAACCTTAGACCCAAAGTCAACGGCGTGTGTCAGGCAGAAGAGAATGATCACCTATCAGATTGATAAACGTTGAGGCCCAGACCTAAAAAGGTTGTAGTGCCATTGATTTATTTTTATATCATGACCACAATTGCTGAAAAGCTTATGTTTAACTATACGTTAAAGAAATGTTATAAAAATAAAGCGATCTATTCAGAGAATAACTTTCTTGCGTTTTGTGCTAAGTGCTAACTAAATTTAGCATGTATTATAGTATTTATATATATTATACTATAATACACACAATTATTTAAAAAAAAATGCTGCGTGTACTTATGTACGCGCGCAAGAAGTTATACTTCTTTGGCTTTCTTTATTTTTTTTAAATACCTATTAAATAATTAATAATAAATATTTAGCGTTAATAATTTAACAATATTTAGTATATTATTCAATTATTAATTAATATTGTTCAATATTGAACAATCCATCATCCACACTACCCAAAACACATACCAGAGATATCTTAAGACCCAACATACTAAACTATGTAGAAAGAGCAAGCTCTGATCCACAAATAAATCTCTCAAAAAACTGAATATGCCCCAGGACCACCGGAACCATTATACACCAACAATGAATTATGTATTTACACAAACAATCAAAAAAATATCTTCCACCACAAAATTCAAAATTCAAAAATCATTTATTCACGTAGGTAACACAATGTACACTTGTGATTCGTCATTAAAGAAATACATATTAATGCTTCTAATTTTACATTTACTGCCAGTTCTCAAATCAAGGGCGTAGAACGGAAGAGAAGAACTGGCAATAAACTCTGCGCCACTCTTTTTAATCGCCATGTTTTTTTTACACAACGTTTGTAAGGAGCTGCAACCATTACACCATGTTCCACATGACATCTTAAGTAACCACGGCAGACGGCTGGTCCCCGCGGAAGACTTAGACCATCACCCTCTAACAAGAACAAAAAACAAAAGGAATGAGAACAAATTATACATAAAATTAGAGGAGGCCTTTGCCAAGAGGCACACTGAACTCAGAGATATTTTATAACTTAAAGATAAAAGTCAACCACAAAGTCAAAGAAACAGTTCAGGATAAGAGGCTTATTATTATTAATTAATATTAAAAATAATTATTATTTATTGTTTTATTATATTATTAATTCAATTTAATAACTAGGAATGTTTCATAACCTTTTAACTAAGTAACAATAGGTCTTTGTACAAAGCATTGCTAAATTTCTTTGAAAAAATAATTAAAACTCCTTTATTTGTTTAAAAGGTACTTACAAATGTCATTATGGTCATTCAAAATTCTTGGCATAGCTGCTAACGTCACGCATAATCTATTTCTTTTTACTTGTAGATTGTCTTATTCCCATCTCGCTCGCGCACCCTCGGCGCCCATACTGATAATTTTGTGTCGCGGTGCGCGCGCATCGTAATATTTCACTCTCATAAATTTTTCATAACGCGCCTAAAGAAGTATAACTTCAAAAATAGACTTATGGTTCAATTTGAAGGATTAGTCGAAGGTTACATTAAATACAAAAATGTAAAGAGTATTCATTCGGAGTTCGTTTTTGCAATAGACAAAAAGTCATGGTATGATTTTTTTCAACAGATTTAAATTGAACTGACACGGTCTGGTGTGCCAAAGGTACCTACTTCATTATAAGCTTTGGTCAACCGCTGACACGGCTGACATGGTTGTCTTTAATTATTAAAGCTGAAAAGGCCTGTATTCACTTTGATTAGTGCGAGTGCAAGTGATTAGTAATTGACATTGATTAGTGCAGGTATGTAGTGTCCAATTATTGTTTAGTGGCTCTGTTAAGTAAATTTAGTTGTCATATAGTTTAGCAGGCACGCTGCGAGTGAGGGGAAGGGAGGACGCACGCGACGCGACGTCACTACGTAGTTCACTAGCAAAAAAATAGATCACGCTTCTAATCACTTTACTACGCAGCCAACTAACTAACAGTCGCTGTCCACACTTGTTTTTTTCTTAATCACTAATCAAAGCGCAGACAGGCCTTTACTGAAAATGGGAAAATTTCTACAATAAAACTAATAAATTTTATAAACATTTTTATTAATAAACGAAAATTTACAATTATTACTACATCTTCATACATAAACACATTTATAACAAGCAGCCTATCAAACTGAATATTTACACGGTATGTCCTTTAGTAAAAATATATTGTATTAAAATGTCTTTTAAATCTGAAGGTTTCCCGACTGTCAAATACTACGTATAGTGGTGTCAAACAATTATTGCTGTCTACATTTGACAATTAAAAAACCTTTAATCTCGTAAGGAAAAATTGAGATCAGTTATTAAAATAAATATTGCAAATCTGCTTGTTACATTTCAGTTCAGTCTTACTCAGGGTCGTTCATTAAGAATCAACGGTTATTTAAATATTGCCATAGATACAATTGTAAGGGAATTAAATTATTGCGGATTTGCAACGTAGATAATTTTAAAGGACGACTCTGAATACGGCTAATATAGTCTTTAAAGACTTAAATGACGAAAACAAATGAAAAAAAAAGACAATACATTTTAACAGAGATGCGCGGGAATAATTTACCTGTTACCATGGTTACGACGGTTTTTCAAAGTAATATATGTAACCATGGTAACAAGAACAGTATATTTAGTCCAAGGTGAGATTCGGAAACGAGACAGCCTTATGCCTTCCGTATGTCAAAATCTTATACATTTTTGACGTACAGCAGTCAGACTTAGCGGTCTCGTTGCTGTTTAAGTTTGTAGAAGTCCGAAATATGAATTCTTGACATTTGTTTTCGCGATAGAAATATAATACAACAGACATAGATGGCAGTATAGAAGAGTAGTTTTACCGATTTTTAATCGATAAAAGTAAGATGTGTAATAAAGAACTAAGACAACATAAATAACATGAGATAATAACAATTCTCACTTGTTTAGGAAGTAGGTATATACGAATATTAAAATTTGATTAGTCTCGATTTTAACTACATATTTGTTACACACTTTTTTAAATAATTAGCACGCCATTTAAAATAAAAAAATATCGCAGATGACTAGCAAAACTGTCTAATACATAGATTAAATATTATTGTTACATACTGTTCATTAAACATAGTTAATATAAAAAAACAGCACTTTTGCGACTCATCTGCGACGCACACACTAAAATACTATCTATATACACTGTACAGATTATTACAATTGTCTATGACAGCTAATCTCACGACTATGTTTTATAATCTATAAAAAATCTATGCCCTAGTAACGGATGCTTTACCGTGAAGACAATCAAACGTCTCTTTTACTCATAGCTGTTCTTTCTATATATGAAAGGGATGGATATCTGTTCCTTTTGTTTTATACTCTCGAACTTGGCAAGATTTTAAAAGGAATGTTCGCGTATAAACTTTTAGGAAGACCTAAAAAAATAACCTCTCTTGCCAATATTTCGAGAATTATTAAACGATTGTCGATTTAAGACGTGTAACGTGATGTTTAAGATATATCGATAAACGCGCTTAATATTATTACTAAGTAAATATTATTGGAATAAATTCTAACATCATTATCTAAATTAGTGGTGTCATTATCTTAATTCGCGAATTTTGACGTCCGACACAACGGAACGGACAATTATTTATATCTATGGCTACAGATATGTTACGAAGTTAATTCATGAAAATATAGACTCCATTAATAGAGATTTCATAATGATTAATTGTTAAGTAAACTTTAAACGTTTGGTTTAGTAGTTAAACTGGCTCTTAAGTATTAAAATAAACGCAGTGTGTATATTTGGAATTTTGCCTATAATCTTGAAAACAAAAATTCATTTCTAATTGACTTGAGCAATTTTATGTCAGTTTTTTTTTATACAGAAACAACGAAGCCTCAACGAAAAAAAAACTTTACGTGACATTTTTGACAACTGACCTTGTGTCAATTGGCTCCCTATGATTTGAATAAAGTCATAAATTTAAACTAACGGTACAATTCAACTGATATATTACATACATATGAAACACCTAGCATTCCGCAAGCGCACACAAGGACTTTCATGCCTAACCATAATAAAACCTCCACAAAACAAATATTTACTGAACATAGGTTTTATTACGTAACGTTTACGTTTAACTTTAATATCATTTAACTGTAATCATTTTAATTTAAAAAAATACTAGGTAGATATGAACACCTTAAAAACTTCCATTGTAAATAATTCCAATCACCTACCATTGCTAGTCGCCTGGTACATAAAACGCATTCTCGATATATTAAAAAAAAATCTAAGTTGGCATTATTTCGAAATTCCTAATAAATAAATAGACTTTTCTATCAGATTATTTTCCTACCTCAAAATCAGATCGACTTCTTTTCTAGAAAATTCTAACTTCGTACAGTGACTCTCTGTCACACCCTAGACCTTAGAGCGAAAGAGACATCGCTCTACTAAGCATTAGGCGATATGTTTTTGCTTCAAATCATGCTTATATGTTTTTTAACTTGACGTCGAAGTTTTTTGACAACTTAGGCCGTTAACACGAAGTTTGAGCGTTGAACACACTTGTTAAATCAAATAATATATTTGTGTCAATCGTCATTTTGCAACCCAAAAGTCCAAATATCATAAACTAATAAATAACTTTTTAGGTGTATCATAGTAAATTTAGCTTTAAGTCTGCAATTCACAATCGTAAAATGGCTTTAATATTGAATATTTAATTCTAATATCTATGTGTAATTTTTATATAATAACTAAATAATATTGAAATGACAATGACAAATGGAATGATGTAATAGTCGACAAATGTGGAAATCACACACAGATAAAAAATGAAGCACATATAGCAGACTCACAATTTTGGATATTTAAAAACATAGGATTCAATTTATACATTGTTGTCTATTGTTTTGTACGATTGTCTGTAGAGCGGGTTTTTGTCTTTGATCGGCAACGGGTGCGCTTCAGTGTTGAACACCCATTCATCCATAGACACCAGAGAGTCGTCCGAGAATATTAGGTATAAGTACTGAAAAACAAATTTACATTTAAATATAAAATACATTTGATTATAACAATTATAAATTTATTTAAATTTCATTACATTTATAGAAAAACAAATAATATAAATGAAATGGATGCAAAGGCCGCCCCTTATCGCTAACAAGAGATGTCTTCAACCCTAGTAAAACTAAAAAAATAAATACATATGATATGAAGTGCAAGAAGTGCATAACCAAATCTTTAAAAAAAAAATAGAATCTAAAATAAAACAAAAAACTAAATAGCAAATCTCACGGATTTATGTATTATTATTTAATATTTAAAAAACAAGCATATTTAAAATCAATTTAGTTTTTATAAAAATCCGACGACAAATATTTCCTCGTGTATGTTAATATTAATAAATAAATGTTGATTTAATTTGATACCTTAAGAGTTTCAGCCAGGAAGAAGCTCTGCTGAACATCATCTCCGACGGGTGTAGAGTGATACACATTGACGAGGCCCGTATAACCACCTTCAACGCGGCAGTGCTTTTCTAACGCCTGGAAATCGATAAAATTAAAAATTAATATTTGAACTGAACGATCTCACGAGATGCATAGAAAGTGCGGGCGAACAGGTTTTAGGTTAGGGCTGCGAGTAGAGCCCTTGACTTCTCGCGGGCTGCAGCCTCTTTCAGATGATCGCCCCCGTATCGCCCTGTATCAGCAGGATGCAACCCACCACCCGAAGGGGGCGAGGGACAGTGAACATTTACCACAAACGGGCTTACGCGGTTACGCCTTCGTCGCTTGCACCAGATATAGACGTTACTTGTGTTATTTTTATTAACTAAAAAATTAATATAATAATAGTGAAGTTAGAAATTTAATTTAATAATTCGGTTTCACCAGTATTAGATTAGGTTTATTTGTAATAGCCATTTTATTTTTAAGCTATTGCATAGATTTTATCGCGGGCTTTGAGCGCGGCTACCGAATTAAGAAATTCCGTAAAGAAATTAAAACCTAACACACGATGACGTTATATAGGTGCGGCCAATACGCGTTAGAGCGGGACAGAACGCATACTGCGTATTCAGCTCTCTCTCAATAACGAGATCGGTGACGTAGCGTAAGCGCGGCCGGTGCAGCCGGTACGCGTTAGAGACTATAATATATACCCACCCAAAATGATTGCAAGTAAATAACCGTCATATTCTAAGGTCTAGTTCATAACTGTTAAATAATATAAAATAAGGGCATTTCTATAAAAAAACTTTTATTTAATAAGATCGACCATTAAAAAAATTAGTCACCGTGCAAAATATATTTTTTTTAACAAAAAGTCAATATTTACCTGTACAGCCTCCCAGGCCCAATCGCGGTACTTCTGTTCCTTGGTAAGTCTCCACATGATGAAGTAGCTCTCAAAGGTCTCTGGTCTTAAGAGGAACATCTTCTCGTTACTCTTCATTGCACGGGCTTCAACTGCCCCGGAAAATCTATAAATTTAAAAACATATTTTGTTGCATGAAATATTTTCAGAATTTATGTTTCGTCTCTTCTTTGCATTTTAAAGTAAATATAGTTCTAATGCAAAGGTCCCTAAGATCCAGAAACAAGACTGAGTTCCGTAAGTCATATTCCAATAGGCTAAGTCTCAATTACTCACCGTGACATCATCAATATTTTTAAATTGAATAACAATCAAGAGCCAATCAATTAAAACTATATTAAAGCAATTAAGAAGCTAGGTACTGTTTCACTGCATTTTGCGGTACATACTTAACGGTATGTTCACCTTACCTAAGAATTGCCATACTATTATATAAATTGTAAGATGTCTATGCGGAAAGAGAACCGTCGTATTTGAGACACCGAAACCCTGATTTTTCATTCCGTAGAATTCTGACATTTCAGAAGTGTTGCTACTAAAAAAGTTCTCCACCGAATAAGGGACAAATTTGACCCATTTGAGGGTGATAAAATAGCATTTTACGTATTTTTATGACAAAAAGGTAAAGCTAAATATTAACATACTCAAGTGACCTAATACAAAAATAACAAATATTTCAATATCATGAACGACACGACTCGTATTGAAATTGAAGAATGTGTTCAGCCCATTGATATACAAAAAACCCAAGATGCACACTCAACGTCAAAAAAACGTCCTCAAAAAATGAGCGCAACATTCTAAATTGTGCGCTCATTTCAAATAGTCTCGCGTCTATAAGTGGAGTCGATGTTATTTATTTGTGTTTTTTTATAAATAAATTTATGTACTCTTGAACTTTTTTGTGTGTAGTTTTTGACAAATATATTTACGCTATATAAAGTGTGGGTCAGGAGGTAGCCAATTTAACATTTTTTTTTAATTTAAAGAAAAAACTTTTTAACCGGATTAAAGTTATGTATTATTATAAATTTACAACTATTTAACATCCAACACCTTTTGTCTTCAGTCACCGTGACCACTCACGCTGTAAAGCACCCGAAAAGTCGGATAAATTTAAAATTATGTTAAATAGTTGTAAATAAAAAAGTCATGTTCGACTCTACTCAATACCTTGTCCTACCGACCACGGTCGGTCGTAAAATTTTATTGCTTTAAGTACGTATACACTGCGTTGTAATAACAACTTTAAGCAATTCGCGTAAGGTTGATTTTGCAATAATATATGCTTGTAACATATACTGTTATGGACAGAAATAGTGTTTCGGGACACTTTCGAGCGTTACTTTTATTCGAGACTGTGCATCTTGGGTTTTTTGTATATCAATGGTTCAGCCAAAAAGGTTTGTAATCTTTGTCACATGTCAAATGATAGCTGTCAGAATTCTACGGAATTAAAAATCAAAGTACCTACACAACCTCTAGCTACAATAATTAAGATGCCGTGAATCGTTCTATCAAAGTATTCGCGCTAAGCATATTATATCGGAGGAAGAGCGAAATCTTACTTTCTCCACTAAATAACCTTTTTTATATGAAAAATCAAAGTACATAAGGGGTCGTTCAAGTATTACGTAAGCACCCAAGTGGGGTGTGGTGGGGTGCTTAGTCAACAGTAATTATTAACTTTTTTACACATATTACCCACACATTGTCTATGCTTGAAATCGAAATGCATTTTCGAGGATTCCTACTAAAAATTAATAGGTTTATGTACTATTATTTTTGAGAGCTTTGCTGACAAGAGGAAGGAGGCGGGAATAAATTGCATTAAATCTGCTTACGTAATACTTGTCTGAATTAATCAAGTAGAAATCACCTAAAAGCCTCGGGTCCAAGTTTAGTGTCAGATCGGTCGTAACTCTCATGACAGGTGTCAGTCAGCTTACGAGCGACGTCCATGTATCGCTCAGATAAGGAATTCTCCAAACTTGTGGACGCCATCGCGAACATTCCACCTGCAATTATACATTAAGTTGTTCAAGAATAATCGCTTGGAAACCTCAATATTTTTTTTGAATAGAACAGAACAATCCCCTTGACTGATATTAGGTGATACCGCGCCCTTGGACATCCTTAATGCGAGAGGGCTCGCAAGTGCGTTGCCGGTCTTTTAAGAATTGGTAGGCTTTTTTCTTAAAGGACCCTAAGTCGAATTGGTTCGGAAATAATTCTGTGGACAGCTGGTTCCAAACGTGGTGGTGCGCGGAAAAAAGTATTTCTCTTTTCATCCCAGCGCAAACACAATTTGACAGGAAGAGACGAAAGATTGCAAATTGATTTTGTTTTTATGAAGTAAGAATGCTATTGACATTGTCTTAGTTAATTGTGGAAGATGAAGGTAGCATCTTCATGGTACCATTATCATTATCAACTTTACCAGCAAAACACGACAAGTGATCCATCTTTTCCTCAAATATCCTGCCATACTTCAGCTCAGCTAAGTACGCGAGACCAGATGGAGACGTTCTCAGCATTTTATCGAGCGCCGGTTGCATTGCCTCGTCGAACATTATCCTGGCTTCTTCATCTTCGTTGTTGGTGACGAGCCACGCCTTCAGCAGGTACTCGTAGAATGAATCGCCCAGGGCTCCGAGGGACATATGCCCTGAAAATATTATTTTATATATTTACCCAAAGGACAGGGAATTATCACGTTAAATAATCATTTATTAAATAATTACATGTTACGCTATTGATGACAATCATATAATACGATGTCATCATTTCAATATTATCTGATAAAGAATTGAAATATTATTCGATTTAAGATAAGAGACTTCCACATTTATTTTTTTTCATATAAGAATCACTTATTTAATCAAAAGACCGCATCTTGGTTTTTTAGAGGTGATCAAATAAAATAAATTGTGTTGTACAATTAAGAAAAGATATTGTACAGTTTTTTTTATAGAATAGGGAGCAAACGGGCATAAGGCTCATCTGATGTTAAGTGATACCGCCGCCCATGGACACTCTCAATGCCAGAGGATTCGCGAGTGCGTTGCCGCTACGCTCTTATCTTGAAGGACCCTTAGTCGAAATACTTCAGTGGGCAGAAGGCATATGCATGTTACAAAACTACTCAAGCAATTTCTACTAGAATACTTTATTATTCCTAAGTAACATAGGCTTAAAATGTTTTAATTCATGTCCAGCCGTGCGAATCGATCTTTTATTTATCATCATCAAAAACCGGTAATTCTTTGAAAATTTCCCTAAAGATGCACATAAAATGTTTGTTGCTTTTTACTGCGACGACGGTATATATAGTCTATATAGTTCGCTTGATTAGTTGCTTGGCCTCGGTTTTTGGATATGTTCGTACGAGTAAGTGTTAATAAAAAAAATAAAAAAATCATAGGTCCTATAGGGGTTCGAACTCACGGCCTAAGGCGTAAGAATCACTGATTGAAGCCACTAGGTAATATAATTTTGTTTATACATTATAAATGCTTATAATTTTAATTGAAAACCCATTCATGTTATAGAATATGGGTAGTAATTATTTATGAATTAACTTAATAGCTATAGGATTAAACTAACTTTGTCCCCAGGTGCCGCTGCGCGGGTTGATGTAATTTGGGTAGAGTCCATCTGGCTTCTGGATGTTGTGGAGGACATCGCGGATTCGCTTCACCTTCTCCCTGTAAACTATACCACACGTGATTTATCTCAACAATTCAATTATGCATATATCATTATCATTAATCATCTTCATTTATCTAGATTAGAATGCGTGGAAAACCTTCCGACTTTGATCAAACTGAAGTTCCGTAAGTTGCATTTCAATTATATTTGTAACAAATATAACACATACTTTAATATATCATCATAATCAAACATTATCAAAGTCCAATAATCAAACATACACGTGCTCCTTTATGTGAATTTAAAAAAGGCCAAAAAGCATGCACAAGGATGCGCAATTGTTTCAATTTTTTTTTTACAAATCATACATTTACAAGACGAATGAATGACGCCTTTAAAGAATCGGGACGACACGAAAGTTTATGCAGACTGTTAATATACGGAAAGGCGTGAAAAATTGTTTGAAATTAGCAATGTTTGACAATTAACTTATATCTATTTCTGACCGCCTTGTTAAGTGTTACCCTGTTTGGAAAACGAGGTAAAGAAAGATAAATGAGGCGATGGCTGACATGCCAGAATAAAAAAGGTAGAAGGTTTAAGAGAGCGACTGAGAGAAACAGTGGAGGAAGTTTAACAGGAGTTGTGTACAAATTTTACATTCTTTTTTTCTCATTACATAGTACATCATAACATGTTAGGATATCGACATACCTTCTTTTCCTGTCACATCGCTAAGGTAGGTGAACTCGAGGTGCAGGGTACCAACTTCGGATAAAATGCTGTTCGATCCTGCCCAATGGTATTGTCGACTCGCCTGAAATGTTTATATTTTTCAAATTATTATAATTTTATTGAGCAGTGTTGGCCTAGTGGCTTTAGCGTGCGTCTCTCATCACTGAGGTCATAGGTTGTATCCAATTGACTTTATTTCTATGTGGGCATTTAACATTCGCTCGAACGATGAAGGAAAACATCGTGAGGAAACCGGCTTAGTCGAAGGCGTGTGTCAGGCACAGGAGGTTGATCACCTACTAGGAAATTAGATTGACAAATGGATGACCATTTCAAAAGAAACAGATACATAAATCTGAGGCCCAGACCTAAAAAAGAATGTAGCGCCACTGATTTTTTTAAATTATAATTTTGTATGGTAATCCTGTAACCCATAACTTTAAAAATTGGTGCATTGTACATTTTAAAAGAAAACAGATGCGCAGGGCCTTGGTCGTGGCCTCAGATTTCTGTAGTTTCGTGATCATTTGTTTTTCCTAATAGGCAAGTACGTGATCAGTCTTAATGCCCGACACACAGTCGCCTTTTTAGGTTTTAAAAGGTATACCCATTTCCATACGAGAAAGTGTGCGCAATTAGAAAGTAAAGTCTATCGGTGCACTTGCATCAAGAAGCATTTAATATATATTTTTTTTTGACGTTCATAAGTGTACATTGTGTTACCTATATGAATATTTTTTGTTTTTAATACAGTGTTTCCTAACGATTTTTGTGCCATGCCCCACCTTTGCCTACCTAAAATTCTTATGCCCCCTTCCCCATGTAACATAAATAATTAATATATTTTAAAAAATTCTATAGATATTAATTGAGATCCTTGCGCTTGATGCTCCAGAGATTGTATATTGGGTTCCAATTTGGTTACCTTCACAGTCTCAAGTCTCCACGTTGCGTGGGCCGAAAGTTGGAAAACGCTGCTATAATTAGTGATGAAAATCGCACCCTCTTCCTAGGGTACACTGCCGTTAGGGCGAGAAAAATTACAGAAGGTAATTAGTAGGCAGAAGATTACCGGCTTAGCTTTCAAATGTATACAAAACCTGTGCATCATCATCAGAATAAATAAATCAAGCGTGTCCATAAATAATTCCATAGATTATTTAAAAAAACGTGTGTGTACTTATGTACACGCGTTAGAAGTTATACTTCTTTGGCATAACAAGATAAAAATCTTTTCAAAAATGTTAGCTTTCGCCTTATTCTACGTTTATAGAAGAAACGACACTAACAATAGAAAAATAATATTCTCATCATTTTTCCCTAACGCGCCAAGAGATGTATAACTTCAAAAAAACTAAGATGTTGACCATAACTTACTTCAGGGTGTCGGTTTTTTGTGACGGAGTGCGCGCGCATCGAAAAAATTTAATCTCATCATTTTTCCCTAACACACCAAACGAAGTATATCTTCAATACTTCAACCGTATTTCACGATTTCGATTCATAAACGTTGAGGTAATCATGAATAGCAATTTACCGCTTATTTCTACAACAAACAACGCATTGTTTAAAGTAGATACAATAGATACTGTTAATTATAAATAAACAAATTGCTGTTTAAATAAAACTTGAAATAGGAGCTCGTTATTGAAAACTCAAGTACACAATTAAAGGCTTTCTTGAGGAAGCTTGAGTTCTTAATCATCAATAATCATAAATACGATCCTTGCGAATACGTAAAATCGAATAGAATATATTTTCGTATGGAAAAATTGTGGTAATCTTTTCAATAGTATTCAAAGTCAAATGTTTGGAAAACGCTCTTTTGCTTACAATTACCCTTATTATATCGAGTAAGGTGGGAATGCAAAAAAAATGCATAAGCGAACGTTGAGATGCAATTGACCAATCAGAATTTAACGGAAGGCGCCGTCGTTTCGTTTTACATTCTCACCCGTATTAGTATACGTACAGTATATATCCGATCCGACCTATCGAAAAGTATTACTATAAGCTTCTTTTGTTTTTTTTTTCTGTTTTAGTGACGTATGCTAATACAATGACTATTGTAGTGACTGTTATCAGACAAACAATGTATTTTATACCAAAAATAGGAAGGAATACACAAAATAATAAACTACAAAAAATAAACAATAGTATTTTGACGAATATTTTTTTATACAGAATTGCCCCCTGTTCTGTATAAAAAAAATTGGGCAGGAGGCTCATCTAATTTTAAGTGATACCGCCGACCAGGGACACTCAATGCCAGACGGCTCGCAAGTGCGTTGCCGGCCTTTTAGGAATTGGTACGCTCTATTCTTGAAGGACCCTAAGTCAAATTTGTTCGGAAATAAAACAACAACATTTACAGTGAAAGATTAGACCTGCAGAAAACTTACGAAAACTAGGTATTAACATTGATTAGATTTCCAGAGATTAAGGGCATGTCAAAGTAATTTAATACAGCAATAATGTATGTTAATCTGTGATTCTACTGACTGGAGGACATATAGAACAACAATATTTAAAGCAACAATACTATTAAAACGTACAACTTTGTAAGTCTTTTATACATCTTTTTATCGTTTTACCTAAAATTCGGTTTTACTATGGGAGTTGTTTCTAAAAAAATGTGTTTATTCGTTATAAGTAGATTGCATTACAATGTGTAAGATTTTAGAGAACCCCTTTGAAGTAAAACAATCCTTTGTCAGGGTAAATATAAAAAAATGTTTAAAGATTTAACTAACGATGAGTATAATAAAGAAGAGTTTCAACGGATTTCATACTATTTTGGAATAAAACGTCAATTCGTGTCACCATATCGAAAAAATAAAAAAAATGCAATTTAAATGAATTTATTACCAGTTCTTCGGTTCTACGCTCTTTGAGAACTGGCAGTGAATATAGAAGCATTTTTACTGGCGTTCATAAGTTCACATAATCTACATAAATAAATGATATTTTCATTTTGTTATCGGTTCAAGCCGATAATATCGAGGTTCGATTCTATACGGTTCAATTTTGTTGCGTTATCAAATAAAACGTCGATTTTGTAATAGTAACATACAATTAATATAACTAATCAAATTAATACAGAAACTTTTTACTGCTTTACCCATATTTATGTTCCTTGATGTGTAATATTTTTGTGTGATACATTCTTAGTTAAAGAAATGCCGGTATATTGGACAAATCTATCAGTAAATATACAAGAGTTTTTCCTTTGTATTAACAAATTGATTGCTATTCTTGTATCGCGCCCGATTAGGTGATATCCAAACTTTAAGGGCCTTCGCTAATTAGGAATGTATTCTGAATAATAAGTGGAGTGGTCCTTTGAAACGATAAGTCGGGATCCGATTAATATAAGGGTCATTGATTAATTTATGCACTATCGGCTTTCGGTACCCTTTTCAGGGTATAATTGTGATTAAAGTTCAGTTCGGTAGCGTTTTAGTGATAATTCCAAACTTTATTAGTCAATTTACATATCAGTTAGGAATAAATTTGGAACACCGACAATTTTACCTGTTAATATTACGTAGTTATTTGTGTATTAACAAAATCAAAGCTCCTTGTTAATTTTGGTCGCCTGGTACAATTTTGAAAATTTTGCTTGTCTAACAAACAAATGGCGGTTTAAAAAAAGCCTTTTATTTGTAAAATCGTAAATTTGAGAAACAATAATAATCTAATAATACTACTACTATTAAATCATGCATATTACCTTGTTACTAGGGTTTATTAGCGCATAGGGCAATCCAGTGGGTGTATCAAAGGCGGGCAGCAACGCATCAGCGACCTCTGCAGCCTTATCCCGGAATATGGAATCACCGGTGAGTGCGTAACAGGATAAGAAACCGCCCACGAAACGTATCGTTGTCTCGAACACTGATAGGTCTGAATCCTGAAAATTGCAGTAAATCATGTCATTAAAATATGTTGGAGCTGGTACAAATTTAAATCAACATTTTCAATTTTCAACAAAAATGTTCATTAAAAAATGATTCATTTTGAAAATAATTTTTCGTCTAATTATTACTTCCCAGAAGTCAAGTGCAACGTGCTTATGACAACCATAAATTACCCTTCGACGTGTCCCTGGTCTCCAACCACGATGCTTTTATAATAAAACTAGCTGACCCGGCAAACGTTTGTTTTGCCATGTATATTATTTCTAGGAAAAAATTTTTTTAGTTCAATGAAAATAACTATATACAATAATAAAAAATAGGGGTAGATCGTAGAGGGGTGAACATTAGGGGTTGTATGTATTTTTGTATGCTGTATCATACTAAAATAACAAAAAAAAAATTGGGGTCGACACCCCTTATCACTTTGGGGTTTGAATATCATTCATATCATTCATTCATAGTTGCCGATTCTCAGACTTACTAAATATGCATAAAAAGTTCAAAAGAATGGGTCGAGCCGTTTCGGAGGAGTATGGGAACGAACTAGGTGAAACGAGAATTTTATATATTAGAAGATGACATCATATCGAGTTCTCGCAGCAACAAAATTTCTTTAAATAGTACGCAAAACATTTAATAAACCTTTTTAACGAAGAAAACAACGAGATATACATATAAATAATTCGCGTTTATATAGGTACGTGCTACTTGCATAAACCACGGTGAAACAACGGTAAAAATTGCGTATGACCACTTTAAACCGCGCAGTAATTTTACGTTTCTGCCTCGACACACTCCACGATTGTCACAAACAATTAACTCGAGAACCTTTTGTGTCCCTTGTACTGCAGTTAAAACAACATACTGCAATATTAAATTATGTGTTACCTTTTTCATAATACTTTGTGGTAATATAAAAATAGTTTTTGCATAGTCTGTTGATTTAAGTAATGTGGTTGGAATTTTACTTTTAGAGAAACGTCAATCATATGTTACAATTGACAACACGTAAATATACATTGACAGGTTTAAAATGCGTTTATTGAAAATGAAACTAAAAATATCATAACGTCTAAATAAAACTACCTAAACTAACTAGAAAAGCGTGCGTACTTTAGAGTTGGAAGCCGCAAACTTGTATAAATAAAATATATTGTAAAAATACACGACAATATTAACCCAAAATCACTTAACATAGTTATAAATTACATATACCAGAAAAACACTTTTATTTATAAACATTGTTGGGTCTCATGTTTTTACTAACAGCCTTTCTCGGTAAATGGCCTAACACAAAATAGTTTAACAATACGAAACAGTAGTTCTTATGAATAGCACATTCAACCAAACAAACTCTTCATCATTATTATAAATTATACTAAAGCCAGCATTCACTACAAAATCTACAAATTGTTTCCAGTAAATGCAGTGCCTTTTAGAACCGGGAAAAATAGTACTTTTGTTAAAGTTTTATTTTGAAACCGATTGATCTAGTGCTGGTTGGGATTCAAAGGCAGGTGCGGGGCGCAAAAAGAAAAAAAGGCTTACAAAGCAATCCGATAAAGTTTGCATGGAACTATCACACGTAGAGAGTCGTGTATTTCTTGAGGAAGCAAAAAAAATATTGTTAGGACACTGAGGTTGAAACACCGCTGCCATATATTTTTATTTTGTTATTCACACTTCGTTGCAATCAATATAAAAGAAACACAAATAACACAATACATAAAAATTATAAGGGATGTAACGGGCAGCCTTATCGCTAATAAGCGATCTCTTCCAGGCAACTCTAGTAAGAGAAAAACTAAAAAAAGAAACATGATGAGTGCAAGAAGTACAGAACCAAATGTTATATTAAAAAAAAAAGAATCTTAATATAAAGTAATACAAATAAAAATATTTATAATAAATTAAAAACTAAAAAGCTAATCTTACAGATTCATGAATAGTGACTAGTGATGCAATACAAAAGTAAAGGAAACACAAGTCACGATTGATCAGGATAGGATAAGGTTAAGAAATGTTTATACAGAAGAGTTAGTAAGCGAGCTAATAAGCGACTTCTTCCAGACAACGTGAAAGAAAATTATATGAAAATTAAGATGAAATGCGTAACATATTCGTTTATTAATGATCTAGTAAGATACTATATGCGTACCTTACGTGTTTTATTAAATTAAATTGAAAAATAACAAATCAACATAACTAATAGCTGTTTAAAATAATAATTTCTCTTAACTTACCGTTAACATTAGCTTTTTAACATTTCGGAAATAACAATGATTTATTTTTAAGAAACGTGTATACTATAAGTTATAACAAACTTTACAAAAATAATAGATTTTTTTAAATATCTTTGACAATTGTTGGTTCCACTTCCAATTATACGTAGTCGGTCCCAAAGTTCTGTCATAAATGGAAATAATGATAAAAACAAAAGTACTGATCAGTTTGTAGTGAGTGATATATCAATTCTTAGTACATTAATTAAGGAATAAAAACAGCATAAAAATATTCGAAATAACCTCCCTCATTTTTAATACAGGCCCTTAAGCGTCGCGGCCAGTCGTCTATCGCAGCACGCTCCATATTCGTGTCGATTTCAGTCACTGGTTTTTTTAAAGATGACTTCAGATTCTCCAAATTTTCATGAGGTTTATCACAGACCTTCCTCTCTAAGCCCTGTCATAATTTCTGGTCCAAAGGATTAAGGTCCGGACTGGAGGAAGGCCAATCCTCATGTCTAATTAAGACGATGTTTTGACGCTCAAACCAGGCTTTAGTGGTCTTGGCTTTGTATGCAGACGCAGAGTCCTGCTGGAACACGAAGTGATGTCCCGCAAATAGGGTGCTGGACATGTCTTTGACAAGGCGATACAAAACCGTCTCTTGGTACACTGTAGCACTGGTTTTGACCCCTTTTCGAAAAAAATTAACCTCAGTTAGCCCGTAATAGGACACTCCCAACCAAACCATTACTGATGATGGATGATGTCCATGTTGCACCCTTGGAACTTTATTTTCAGCTTCTTCAGAACTCCTAGCGTACACTGTATAATTCTGTTTATTGTACTTCTCTTCAATATCGAAAAATTTTTCGTCCGTAAAGAGGATATCACGGTGTCGGTTTTTCGCGTACCGCTTAAACAACACCCGCGATCTCTTAAGCCTTATTGCTTTTAGACGAGCATTAAGTAAGTGCCCACTCTTTTTTTGTATGCTCGTAGACCAATATCTTCATTTAAAACCTTTTTTACTGTTTTCCTACTGACACCCATCTGCAAATCCATCAACTTCTGTTTTCGGACAGGATTTCTTACTATCCGCGCCTTGATAGCTTTGATTACTGCTGGTGTTCTTGCGGAGCGTGGCCAGCCAGTTCTTTTCTTGTCCTCAACACTGGAGACTTCAAGGTACCTATCAATAGTACCGTACACAAACCTAAGCGTTATATTCAAATTTTTGAGCAACTTGAAAATGGTACTCGGCGAGTGTCCACAGCGGTGCAACGCAATAACAACTATTCGGTTTACTTTCAATGTCCACTCCATCGTGAAAAATTACGGAAAGTTATTGTTTTTTGTTTTAAAACAATAATCAAACATTCCAAAATAGAATGCAATAATTTTTTTATAAAATCCTGCTCGAAATGTAGAAATAATGTGCTAGTGACAGAACTTTGGGACCAATTATAATTATGTACACACCTGTTGATTCAATTTTTATACATATTATATTATTGGAGTTCCAAAACCTACTGGGGAAACCAACCTGGTAGAATACTCAAAAACGGTGCGGAAATTTCTACATATATAATGAAAAAAAAAAAAAAACAACTCTTCACGGTCTGATATCGCGATAACTCGATAACGGTGCTTCGTAAAATGATACCTTTTTGTAGAGAATTTAATCTACGAACTTTCTCTCATCCAATTTTCAGTTCTCATTACAGAAATAAAAAAAAAAACTAAATGTTACTTCAACCTTAAACATTTGACCTCGATTAAAATCAAAAAGCTGGATTGATGAGGATTATAACATTTATTTATTAACAACCATAATATACATATAGAAAAACCAAAAAAAAACTGGTTACATAAGTTATTAGGAAACGGGCGGCCTTATCGCTAACAAGCGATTTCTTCCAGGCAACCTTTAATATGGAACAATAAAAAATGAAACCCCTACAGAGGGTTAAAAAAACTAAAAAACATGTAACTATAACTAAAATTAAATAAAGTAAAATGTAAAGAAAAAATATAAAAAAATAATATGTATAAACAAAAATGTAAAAGCTAATCCAAACGTTAATTGAGTTACAAATAATATTTATATTATATAATATATTATTCACATTGTGAAGAACACGCAAGTTACCACTTCTTCGCAATTAATGCAAAATGTAAAGTATACCATATAGACCACAAGCCCATGAACAAAAAATACCTGTGAAATGACCCAACCTGAATTACGCTTAGAAGGCTGTTACTATATCTGAAAATAGCTCTGAGCACTATGCCGTCATTTCTGAGCGGTACATGTGAGTACGTGAGTGAATGGACTTTCTCATGTACAATGGGGGAATTTCGACTAATTATTAATGTACGGCTTTGTTATAAGTGTATAGATGATTAAAAATAAATGTCGAAAAACCTAGTGCCGTACAAAAGTGATGGTGCCGGAAGTCGGTGCAAATGTTTAATTCGACGACAGTTGCAGGAGCAATATAGGTCATTTATTACTGTACGGCATTTGTGTCATTCCTTTTGGACACATATACAGATACTTTACCCGTAAACGCCGTACATATTTCCAGCGGAGCGGTCGAAAGCCAAGGGTCGGAACCCTACCCCTACACCCATATACCCTAAGGTCATTGTAAAATGTACGGCAACATGTTCAAAATATTATTTAACACGGACAATAATGTTTTATAATTATGCCGTCCAAATAATATAGTTAATATTTGTGTAATTAAATATTTATCGAAATTTCAGGATTTACCAAATTCTTACTGCTGTAAGATCAGAGAATAATGTACGGCAACTTGTTTTTTACATAATGTTACTAAATATTACCGTTGTACATTATAGCCGTTCATTATAAATGGTAACAAATAAAAATATTATGATAAAAAATATATGAAATTTCCGAAATTTAGATGACTTTTCAAATGCTCCTAGAGTAATATGGGGAGTAATATTTTCAAAGATTATTGTTATTTTATATGTAACAAATATAAATAAACAAAAAAACCAGATGCCGTACATTTTACTCCAGATTATTCTTTACAGCTGATAAAAACTTCGACGACGTTTGAGGTGTCCCTTAAGGTCATTAATAACTGTACATATCTGAGTATACTACCATAAGGCTGTAAAGTATATTTACAGCCTTATCGTACCAGCAGAGAGAGGTAAAGGAAAAATATTTTTAACAAAAATATATATAATACAGGGCGTCCCAAAGTTATGAGACATGAAGGGAAAGTACCTTAAATATCGCAGATAGGGTATTTTACTAAAAGAAGACTTTATGTTATTTATAAAAGTTAGTAATTCTGCATTCAAAGATTTTTTAAAACTACTTGCCTCGTCTGGAAATCGAACCGACTTAAATTAAAAAAAAACACCCCTACTTTTATGATGCCAATCGAAAGAATGGCCAAAACCTAATAACTTTTCTAAAGTAACAGACTCGTAGGGGATTTTTTTAGGCCGAATACGATAGATAATGTTTTTAATTTGATTAAAAGATATATTCACGCTGTTCCTTTCTTTTAAAATACTATGTTACTTAAGAAGAGTTATTAGTTTTTGGCCATTCTTTCGATTGGCATCATAAAAGTAGGGTGTTTTTTACATTTAAGTCAGTTCGATTCCCAGACGAGGCAAGTAATTTTTAAAAAATCTTTGAATGCAGAATTAATAACTTTTAAAAATAACATAAAGTCTTCTTTTAGTAAAATACCCTATCTACGATATTTAAGGTACTTTCCCTTCATTTTCCATAACTTTGGGACGCCCTGTATTGGTAGGCGGTGGTAGCGGACTATCGAAAGTGTACGGCATTTATCTTTTATTGAAGATTGTCTAAAGTATTAATAACCTGTGTTATTGCCGTACAGATAAAAGTCACCGGAAAATGACTCTTTTCTGAGAAAAGTAATTTGCCCCATACACCTATGTGTTCCACAAAAAATGTACGGCATGCTGGAAAATGTTATCTATTTGTGAAGTACTCTCAAGATCATTTAATTTTATGTTGATTCATATCATCATCACCTTTATGCTAATCAGACATATGTTGCGACCCTTGGCTTTCGACCGCTCCGCTGGGAATATGTACGGCGTTTACGGGTAAAGTATCTGTATATGTGTCCAAAAGGAATGACACAAATGCCGTACAGTAATAAATGACCTATATTGCTCCTGCAACTGTCGTCGAATTAAAAATTTGCACCGACTTCCGGCACCATCACTTTTGTACGGCACTAGGTTTTTCGACATTTATTTTTAATCATCTATACACTTATAACAAAGCCGTACTTTAATAATTAGTCGAAATTCCCCCATTGTACATGAGAAAGTCCATTCACTCACGTACTCACATGTACCGCTCAGAAATGACGGCATAGTGCTCAGAGCCATTTTCAGATATAGTAACAGCCTTCTAAGCGTAATTCACGTTGGGTCATTTCACAGGTATTTTTTGTTCATGGGCTTGTGGTCTAATAGATTATGACGATTATATAAATTTAATATAAATCAAATCATAAGGAATAATATCACCTTGCTGCCTAGAACATGATTAAGAATAATATAAATAATAGCGACGACGACTTATAATAATAATAATGACGTTCATAAGTGTATATTATGTTACCTATATGAATAAACGATTTTTGACTTTGACTAACCTGCATCACGAGCACACCTCACATACACACCACAACGTATATACCCTCACTTTCACACCATCACACAATACATCCGAATTAGGTATTTATTACTTACTAAGGTAAATAATTTGTATTTGTTTTTCCTTTCTTAGTTTCGTAAACGTTTAAACCTTTTTTTATATATGTATTCCAACTTTGGCTATATCTTAAGTATAACAGTTTAGTATAACAATTTATGTAACGGAGTTCGAAATAAATAATTATAAGTTATTTTCGTAAAATCTCTTCATTAAATGATTCGATGTTCTCTCGTTCCATTCCATTCAGATACGAGGAAAACACATTCATTTTCTTTGTGAAGTAAAACTTTTGTTTGAGACTTTCCATTCTAGTCGGGACTTCGCTGAGGTCCAATGCATTTGGCAAATGAAAAAAGTTAAAAACCACGTCAACGTTGCTAAAGTTGGATGCATTGAGGCTATATGTATTCTCGAGATATACGAATATTTTTTGTTGGAAATTCTTTCGACGGTGAGATTGTAGCGGAATAGTGCTTTTGTTTCTTGTTGTTCATCATACAGTGGATTAGGATTACCTTTTTCAAAGAAAAAAGTGTAAAAATAATAATAATACTTTGTCCAAATGAGCAGTATCACCCTCTTAACCTTCGCCTAACTTGGCTTAACCCATTATCTTTCTGTACAAAACATATTATGACGTAATACTTTTATCGCGTGCTTTGTTTTAGTCAACGTCTCTAGATATAGTCTACTCGTAATTTTGGTTAATTTAGAGTTTCACACAGCATTTTTTAAATTGATAAAATGCTCTAGACACTATTCGTTAACAGTTTTAACAGTTTTTGGTGATAGTGGTCTAATAGTCTAAATTTTTGTCGGAAATCCAATTTTCTAGCTTCTATACAAAATTTATCATAATCCTTAGAGTATATTTAACATAAATTATTTCTGTTGGTCTTCGTCACACAAGCGTGGACAAGACGAAAGCTATAGACGCCCTGGATCATGCTCTCAAACTGAAATGGGCTGGAAACACCGTAGGCCGCGTTGCCCTTCTTATTATGTATTATTTTAATTGTACTGTTTTCATGCAACGAACTGATTAGTAAAAATAAAACAGAGAAGACCGCCGACAAGATGGGAAGAGCACATTAAATTATTGAAATCTCTCGATTTTTTCGACTTCGTTTTCGACTTCAATTTGTAATGTAAAAATCATTTCTAAATATTTTTATTTTATCTAAAAATTGTAAAATTCTGATCATATTCTACATTTCATTTTGCTACTGCTAGTATATGACAAATAGTACATAGAATGTAAGCTACATATACCTATAGTGTTATATACTATGTTTATTACTTTATAACACATTTAAAAAAGTGTACTTACAATCTCATTAACATGGAAATGCTCAGCCACCCAATCCCGTCCCTCGCGAAATTCATCCATCAGCCCCATGATGTACAGCGTATCCAGGCCGTCAACAATGGTAGCTCCCATGTCCCCACCACCGAAGACACTGGTAAGATGCGCACGCTTCGATATTGGCTTCAGTTCATTCTTGCCCCACGCGTACAGCTTGTAATTGTTCCACGCGTGACGCATCATCTGAAAACAATTAATTGTTAAAATGCATATAATGTCTCATATTCTCTCAATTGCCGATAGCCTAATAGACGTGCGATTCTCAACCCTCGAGTGTTAGAACCCCGTGTCTGTGAAGTTAGCAGAGCACTTACCAGCAGAGCATAAAAAATTAGAGTTCTGGCAGCACACTCAATAGTTCTATAGTTCCTGATAGTTTTTAGAAAAAGTTCTGGACTGAAAAGTCCAGAAAATATATATATTTTTTTAAATCGTAAAATGCTCTGCCAGCTTCCCGATCACAACAGAGATCAGCAACAACATCGATTTCGATAAATAAGGTCTCATCAAAACAACCATTGCAATTGTAATAGTTCCCTATCATTTAAATCCACAAATAAAAAGGTTTAATTAAAACTCTTCGCTTTCTCTCAGCAGAGCATACCTCTATGATGAAAATTGGCAATTTTTTGAAGTGAAACTTCTTTATCGGGGTTGGAAAAAAATTTAGTGTAACATTTTTGCGTTACGCGTCACATTTTTCCGTTACGCGCCATGTTGCTTTTTGAAGTCAAACTTCTTTATCGGCGTTAAAATATGACATATAGTATGTTTTTGACTTTGATGTTTGACAACGGATTACATTTTCGAAGTCAAACTTCTTTATCGGCGTTAAAATATGACATATAGTATGTTTTTGACTTTAAAGTTTGACAACGGATTACATTTTCGACTTGAAATTTGCTAATCGCAATTTGCAGCAATTAATTTGTAAATTGTATGCTAGGTAGTGTATCAAAATTTACTGTGTTTAAAGAAATAGTTTCTAATAAGGTCATAAAGAAGTTTCACTTCTTACGTGTGTACACCTAGTACACGCACACATTTTTCACTTATGTAGGCCATACACACTACGGTCTTCATAACTTTCGCAAAATTAAAAAAAAATAACTAGGGTCTAGACATGGGAACTCTAAGGTTTCTATTAGATGTCTAGGCAACACAATTAAATCGTAGGCATGAGAAGTTATAGGACGAAAACTTATATCATTCCTGTTATTATTAATTCCAATTAAAATACTCATACAGATTCCACCAATATTTAATGTAAAACACATTATTAATATTACTAGTATATTTTTCTATACCGTTAAATAAAAATATAACATTCGCTTCAAAAATCTGCGAACACGTCAAAATGTAAGTGAAGTGTCATCGTGGTTATTAATAAAGAGGTCTGCCTAGTGGCCTACATTTAATTGCGAAAGTGGAATGTTTTCACAGCACTGCAAAAAAATTCACTAATTCTGCACTCACATTAGCCGCAGGAGTGTATATTTTTTCCATAAAACATTTACATACAACATTTTAATATAAATTAAAATGTAAAATAAATATAGAAAAACAGCAACATTGCAATTCATTCATTTCAACAATCTTTAGACCATGTATTAAAAATCATCGGACGTCCAGGCAGAATACGAAATTCCACCCGTATCACCTCGACGTCCGTCGTTCCACAACTGAGGGTTTTTTAAGGCAGTTTTTGCCGCGCACCACCACTTTGTGGAACCAGCTGTCCACTAAGGTATTTCCGAACCAATTCGACTTAGGGTCCTTCAAGGAAAAAAAAGAGGGTATCAATACTTAAAAGGCCGGCAACGCACTCGCGAGCCCTCGGGCTCATGTCCGTTTGCCCCGTCCTTTAAAAAAATAATAAAAAAGAAGACGTTATAAATCTTCGTTTATTAGAATTATTGAATGAAGCCATTATTATATCATCAAATAGTTTTAGTATTTACAAACATTTAAGTTTACATAAATTAAACGTTTTATCCATCGAGTCTATTTTCTAATGAATACTGAAAAACCTTCACAGGCCACTATATTCAAAGGCATGAAAAGCGGCAAGACACGCGAGTCGCCCGCAGCGTAAGTTTTAATCTCGGCTTCGTACGACCAGACTAATGAAAGGATCCCGAAGCCATTCATTATTATTAGGCCGAACTTTACGGGAACTTGGAAAAAGTGGCTTTACAGGACGTGTACGGTAGGATATATTAATGACCTTTTTATACTATAACTCAGGGGGATGTATATCTTCCCCTTTTTTACAATCCTAGTCGTAGTTTTCTGAATAGACCGGCACCGACTAAAATGAGTGGTACGTGGATGATGATACCAGGTCTGTTTTCGCTTGGGAGAGGTGCGTAAAAGTACATAATACAATTAAAACGATAATATCACAACTTCAGTTTTACACATTTTTAATGAAGGATTAATTATTTATATGAGTAAGAACTAGTTCAAACGTTTTTAATTAGTTTCAAAATTTTAATGATTACCTCAACAACTTTCTGTCGTTTTCCTTGAACAGTATGAATTACTTGCACCGTAGCATTTGTCTGTTGCACCTCACGAGGGATTCTTTCCAAATGCTCCACGTTGTCCAATCGACTCAACGCCAAGATCATGAAGGTCACTACGAAAGTAGCACCTACTGATATCAACAGTCGTAATTTACGCATTTTACAAGCCCCAAACTGCACTTTAAATATTCGAATCAGTAGACAAACTACCAGGGTACAATAAACACGAGAGAGATCACTGTCGTTATACTGTGGACCTTACCGCGCAGGCCACAGTTTTTAATTAACACTTATTACACAACGCCTAGTAATTATAACTATAATATACGAATTGACGTACGATCGCGCGTATAGCCACGCGAATTATGTTCTAACAAATAGCAATTTCGTCGAATGTAATCTAAACGTGATAAGCGAACGATACGGTATATCATGAACGTGATCTAGAGACAACTGACAATACTACTGTCTACTGCTTTGTTGATATTATTTACTAATTAATCTTAGGAATTATAAACACACGACACGCAACTACCTATTAGGCATAAAATCTGACAGTAAAGGTTGAACAATTATTGTATTTCTGCGAAAGAACTGTCAATATTAATGGTTAAGTAATACATTCGTGAAAAACGACACAAAAAAAATGTATGCCACGGAATTAGAATATTTATTACAAGTTCCATTTAATATCATACTGTAAGATTGTCACCTGAACACTGAAAAATAGATAAGATTATTACAGATTTGGACAAATCAAGCGTAAAAATAAGTTTTCATATCAAACAGACAGATTATATACTTTCAGTATATTATAATTTTTCGTATCTATTAGTTACTAAGACGAATATAGAATGTTCTAAGTTACGATAGTGACATACATAGAGTGGGTCAGGGGTTATCCTATTTAACGACGATTTGCTCCACGTGGCCAAGCATGAGTCTGCTAATTAGGAACATTTTCACCGAAATTAATTTTAAAAAATTAAACCGACTCTAAAATAGCTGACTTTATTTATCTACCTACAGCAGTGTTTCCCAACGTGGGGCCTATTCATAATAGTTTTAAAATATGAAATTTTAATTTCACTTTTTCATTAGGTACATTTTGAAAATTTACTTACTGTTTTTTGTTAACAATTTCCTAGAAATTTCTTTCTAAAACCTATCATTTAAGTTTCTTAAGTGATTTTTTTTGTGAAATTCATCTAAAACGAGTATGACTTTTAAATTACAAAAAATGAAGGTTTATAATTCGAAGCTTGTTTTTTTAAATCATATCTCTGAGCTTTCGTAAAGAAGAAGAATTCCTGAAGATTATTCTGGGATTACAAGAGAATATAATTTTTTTTAATATTACATCAAAATACTATATTTATTACAAAACTGATTATAGCTGATAGAGACCTCTTGAATAATTAATTATCTTACGTTGTAAAAGCTTGTGTCAGCGTTGAACAGGCTAAGGACACTTGTATTTTAGTATAGGGAAAAATTCAGATTTTAAATTTGAGAAAAGGCTATCTTCGTTGAACGGTTCCTGGGTCAACGGGGTGCTTTAAATAATAGAGGATCATATTTTCACTCTATAAAACCACTCATGTTTTTTTTTGTAACAGTAACGGGCGGCTCGCAAGTGCGTTGACGGACTTGTAAGAATTGGTACACTCTTTTCTCGAAGGACCCTAAGTCGAATTAGTTCGGTTCAGTGGGCAGCTGGTTCCCCAAAGTGGAAAGTGGTGGTGCGCGGCAAAAAATGCCTTAAGAAACGCTCAGTTGTGGAACGACGGACGTCGAGGTGATACGGATGGTATGGTATTCTTCTTTGACGTCCGACGATGAAACACAGCTGCAGGTATTAATCCGAACAACTCTGAACACTCTCCATGGTTATTCTCCACGTAGAACAAAGAATAAATTGTAAATAATTAATGCTATGAAATGAAATGCTACACACATAAGAGGGTGCCTGCGTCTGGCTATACTCTCGGAGCGTATTTCCGACGATTTAGGTAATCGCCACGCTTATAAAACTAAGAAAGCCTGAGTGAGAAAACTTTACAGCCTTGGCGGTTCAACATTCCGGTTTTACTTATATTATACGATTATCAAGGTGAGACTTTTTCCAAAACGTGATTTCAAGCGAAATTTAAGTAATTCATCTAAACATCGCTGATTCACAACACAAGCGTAGCGGAAAATTACTTTTCTTCGAAGGCGGAAGTAAGGTTTTCAAAGACTGTAAAAGTATAATACGTTAATCAAAATTAATCGTAAACGATTTTTGTGATTTGATATTTTTCGTTTATTTATTTAAGAGTTTATTTATTTGAAAAAGGTCATGTATATTAAATTGGCGGAAACGATTTAGTTATCGTGCAGAAAAACATTTACAAAAATAACATAATACATGTGACATAATTAAATGAAGAAGAGCTCAATTGGCGGCTTAATTACTTTCGAGCGATCTCTTGTAGGCCACAAGGGTGCTAAGGTAAGCAAGAAGTGCAAAAATACATAAGACATTTAGTTATTTAGACAAAACGAATGGAACAAAACAAAGCAATTATTACATTTGTAAACAGTGATCAGGACAATATTAAAAAATGGACACATGAAAATAAGAGTAGTATATTCGCAAATAAAATTAAGATTTTTCCGATATAAAATACAGAGGCTTTCCAAATGATTGAAAAACGTTGAATTAAATTGAATAAAATTTTTTAAAACAACGCACTCCCGAGCCCTCTGGCATTGAGAGTGTCCATGGGCGGCGGTATCACTTAACATCAGATGAGCCTCCTGGCCGTTTGCCTCCTAATATATTTAAAAAATATATATAGGTAGGTATGCAACTGCGAAAGGTACGAAACTATCAAGATAGTTTGCTCCACAAATTGCTCTAATACATTTCTTTTGAGCCTTAAATAAACATAGTAATTGTATACTGTAGAAAATGGTATATAATGTGTTAATAAATAAGTAAATACATAAAAGAAAAAAAATACATTAAATCACGCCGAAAGCAATTATTCACCCAACGCAAGAAATCTGTTAAAACACATTCGTATCAAATCGTGCATTATCGAGGGATTTATCAAGAAGCTTCCAAGTGATTGATAGTAGACAGGACATGACATTGCAGCGTGTCAATTTTTCGCGAGACCAATTTACGAGAAAATCGGACGAGGCGTGAAGCGACTGGCATATTTCTAACGCTCCATGCTTTTAGGTTTTTTCATACCGCCCATGAGGAAAAGCAGAAATAATTGTCTTCTATTACCTTATAGCTCCTTTAACGAAGCAATTTGAATAAAGATTGATAAAACACTTATATTCCAATTTAATCAGAATTATATATATGGCTTGTTTAATGTTTTTGATATTTTTAGAAAAAAAAATTGGTTAACATACTTTTGTGATATACTGATACAATGTCATAAAAAAATTGACGAGTTTGTTTGAGCGCGCATATCTCAGGAATTGAAAAATTCTCGTGGGTAATGAGGAATGCTTTAGGCTATTCATATAACGACATGCTATGACCGCATTAACGCAGTTAAGACTGCATAGCTATCTGTAGAACTATTTCCATAATAGGATAACATTTAAATAATAATAATATATTAAGTGTTAGAAATTAAGTGAGTGAGTGTGTGAATGAACTATAATAATTACATCTCATAATATTAAAAAATTACCTCTGAACATTAAAAAGATTTAACCTCATACTTAATGTTCACGGCAACAAGTTTTTCAGTATATTTGAGGTTGTTAGCAGAGCCATAACAGTAAATCTGAAGAGAGATTTATTCTTTGAGGTGCAGCGCGCGTCCGTACTCTCACTTAATTACCGCCTGCCGAGATTGCTCCTGGCATACGCTGCTCTCCTAGTAACCGTTTCTTATAGTTTACTACGCCTTTTTATTATTGATTGTTATGGTTCTCAACCTAAATAATTGCATACCTACCTATATATTTTTTAATGTAATAGGAAGCAAACGGCAAGGAGGCTCACCTGATGTTAAGTTATACCGCCGCCCATGGACACTCACAATGCCATAAGGCTCGCAAGTGCGTTGCCGGCCTTTCAACAATTGGTACGTTCTGGATCCTTATTCGAATTGGTTCGGAAATATTTCAGTGGGCACACATAGGGGTTCCACATAGCGGTGGTGCGCGGCAAAAACTTCCTTAGCAAACGATCAGTTGTGGAACGATGGACGTCGAGGTGATACGGATGGTATTTCGTATTCTGCCTTGACGTCCGATACAACTCCTTTGAACACTCTCCATGGTAAATGCTTAGAAGATGCATATACCATACTAATTTCAATAATTTTACTCTTGGATTTTCGAAATATAGCGCGGCAATACCTTCTGATAAAAATAGTTATTTAACACGACAAATGGGCTAAAAGGCTAAAGGCGACAACCCTAACAAATATAGAATGAGCTTTATGAAGTGTGGCAAAGGCTAACAATTATAGCTATATCAAATACCTATCTTATTAAAACGATTAAATATCAGTTTCCATTTAAATTATAAATGAGTATAATTAAACATATTTTTTTCTAAATACACTGTATTTTCTTCCACATACGCTTATTTTAACCGCTAAAGCTCAGGAAAGCTTGCCCGAGCTTCCTCTTAAGAGCTATTACAGGCAATCGGAACCCGAAGTCATCGGATACGGCAGAAAACCTCTTCCGTTCGACCCTCCATACATCTTGCGTTTCCCTTGCGGTTAAACAACTCCTTAGACCCTTTGTACTTCAAGGCACTTCTATGAGACAGGATTAATGAGCCTTAAAATATAATGTTGCTTGAACGGGTCGAGTTTAATTTTAGATCTACAAGGATTTTTTTAACACCAGCGCTGTTATTCTGAAACTTCCAATACTAGTAGAAACAACCGATTTTCGTATTATTATTATTATTTGCAGCTCCTTACAAACGTTGTGTAAAACAAAAAACTTGGCGATTAAAAAGAGTGGCGGAGAGTTTATTACCAGTTCTTCTCTTACGTTCTACGCACTTGATTTGAGAACTGGCAGTAAATGTAAAATTAGAAGCATTTCACATATACATATTTTAGTGTTAGAGGTACACAAAATGAAAACAGAAAATAGTATTCACTGTCTTTATTGTCAGCTCT